CCCCCCAAATAAACCATCTCAAATATACGGATTCTTGGGACATGAGTTATGCATATAGTTGATTTATTTTAATAATTTGTCTGTCATATTATTATATACACCATTGATATAATCAATTGTTTTTATAATGGATAAATAAAAGTAGGGGAAAATTTCGTGTATGCCCTTATTAAACCGTAAAATATCATATTTACCCGACATTAAATCTAAATATCATATATACCCTTCTTAACATTTAAAATATCATATTTGTCCAAATTTAATTTTTAACCATTTTTAAAATGTTTTTAATCACTTTTTATATTTTATAATCATTTTAATTTAAAAACATAATGTCAATTGACTAATTTGCCCTTCAATACTTAAAACCCTTTTGCCTTAACTTGGATCGACCATAATTGACCCAACTATCCTAACCCTTTTGCTGATCACGTACCTGGAAGGATACGAAATTCATTGCTCATTGCGCTAACTAACTGCAATGTACATGGCGCAGATGTTCATAAGGGATTATCGATCACAACTTCATTGTGATGTCGCATCGTCCTTCCGTAATCGCATCTTCCTTCCGACCGCAACACACAACATCCTTCTTCCTCCCCCCACTATTGTCGCACACTCACATCATCACATCAGGTAAAATCGACTTCAACCTATTTCTAATTTCCATCTCTTCAATTTCGATTTTAGGGTTCCTAGTTTCAATTGTTCAAATTCTTTTTACAATCAGCTTAGTTATGTTGTATTTGATAGCTTAGTTGTGTTGGATTTGAGCTACAATCCGGTATACAATTGCTTATGTGCTTATGCTTCTGTGGACTATACCCAAAATGCAGAAGAGATACTCAGATCAACAGTGGTGGCACCATTAGTTCAGAAAGGGATTCCTTACACTTCATCTGGAGTGGTTGGTGGGTTCACTGGTGATGAGCTTGAAGATGACTACAAACAAATCAAGAATCTCATTGCTCAAGATTGTACATTTTTGTTGGAGATTTCTTCTACAGGTATATGCTCATTCTTTATTCCTGTTTTCTATACCATCAACAATATAAGGAGATTTTTACTACATGATTTGGGCATTATTGTTGTGTTTGAACTTTGATGGTATGTAATTGTCCTTTACTATTGCAGAAAATTCGTGTTTGCATGTATTTAGCTTTCTTGCGAATTCATTTATTACGGAGGTTCTTTGGGCAATTCAGCAGGGAAAGCCAGGGGCTTTTTCTCATGGAAGACCTACAGATTTCTTGAAAAACTACAAGTCAAGTCTTGGTTTTTTGGCTGATTTAGAAGGTAATAGAATAAATTCTTATTTCATGTATTGGAATGTAATAACTCATTCCATCACCTTGCTTATTCCATCCCATTCCATTCTTTTGTCATTCAATTCCATTTGTTCATTAGATTCTGCATTTGTTGGTTCTAGTCTAACTCTAATTCCGAAGTTGTTTGTTATGTACAGTTAGAAAAGTAAATGAATTTTAAATTGGTAGATAGAGAAAAAAAATATTATTTTACAAAATTAAACTTTATTCAGTTAATAACTTATTGTTTTGTTGTGTTTTGCAGATAATTCATGATTTAGATCATCTAACGACAGATTAATAAGAAAGAAATGAGAAATGTAATGATTAATGAGAAAGTGGTCAGGTTTTTGTAGAGGATTTGCACGAGCAGACGAAGTCTTTTTGCATCTAGTCCCTCTTTCCAAATCGACCAAGTGAATGTATTCGTATAGAGGATGCCCTTTATGTTAATATAGCCTTTTTAGTAGTTTGATGCAACTTGTTAGGAGCATGTAATGTAATGTATGAAATACATCTCTGATATTGTAATAGATGATGTGTAAGTAGGATGTTATTAATTACAATAGCCCATGTTTTTATCTTTGTACTATTTAATAACAATACTTACATGTTTGGTCCCTGTTGTTTTAAATTTGGCATTAATTATAATTTGGTCCTGTTGTTTTTAGTTTTGCAATAATTACAGTTTGTTCATTGTTGATTTTAATTTTGCAGTACTTACAGTTTGGTCCATGTTGTTTTAAATTTTCATTAATTACATTTTGGTGTATGTTGTTTTTAGTTTAGCAATAATTACAGTATAGTCCCTGTTTTTTTTAAATTTTGCTTTGTAGAAAAATCATTTTACCATCATACTTTCTAAACAAACTATTTCTAGCAACGTACTTTTTAGAAAAACCTATTTAACATCATCTTACAACTTGTAATCAATAAAAATAAGAAAATTGTTAAAAGAACCAACTATTGTCATCAATTTTTTTCACATGGACCCTGAAACTCCCAAGCTACCGCCAGATTTTGTTTTCGTTCCACGTTTCCTAAAATAAATAAAAACAATATTAGCATTGTATGTGTTTTGATATCTATTTATAAAATAAGACAAAATAAATGTGATTTTGAGCAACCTTGTAGACGTGGATGTTTCACTTTGATCGATACTTTGAGATGAGGGATTTTTGCAAGTTTTTTCACGGTGTCCATACTCACCACATCGCGAACACTTGTGCCTTCTTTTAGGCTCATCTGAGGGTTTAATTCTATTTTTTTTGGGTCTTCCAGACGGTCTTTTCATGAGAGGTGGGTAAATTTTCTCACCGTCTTTTTTAATCCATTGATCCTTTCCGGACATCGGAGTAATTTTGAAAGCATATGCTTCTTTAAATTTCTCTATACTAAAATATTGATCAACATATTGGTCCCAATTAGCATCCCTTGTAAAAGCAATAAAAGTCGCTGCATGTACACATGGAACGCCCGTAACTTGCCACACTCGACAGCCACATTTTCTTTTGTCTAGGTTGACTTCCCAACGCGTTCCCTTGAACTTCACCTCAGCTTGATTATCACCGCTTCTACATACTTCATATTCACCCAAGTTCTACATGAAAGATAAAAAAAACATATATTATTGAGATCTACATGCATCATCTAAGTTTAAAATAATATGTAATTGAACTATAATTTAACATACTTACCTTAAAGATGTCATTGAGACGAATCTTAGCATTAGGAACCAATACGTCATTCCATCTTTTCACTAACATCCTCTTCTTGTCAAACCGTTTCATAAGCTTTTCTCTAATTGCATCAAGTAGATCAAGCACAGGTTGATAACGTGTCGCACCAATCCAAGAATTAAACGATTCCGAAATATTATTAGTGATGTAATCACACTTGGAAGTTGTGCCAAACTTGCTTCTACTCCATATCTTTTTATGGTTGTTATTTAGATATGTAATGGCATCTTGACTTACATCGGCAATGTCCTTCAATAATCTGTCATGCTTGGTAGGACGGTAGGTTTTTGCAGCACCCCAAAGTTTCTTGTTGAAGAATTCACCACGAAATTGTTTCTTGAAATTGCTATATAAGTGTCGTAGACATTCTCTATGCTCAACATTAGGATAAATGTGCATCACAGCTACTTCTAACCCTTTTTGCATGTCTGATGAGATCACAAGACCATCTGGCATCCTGATTGCTTTTTTAAGTGATTCAAGAAACCATGTCCATGATTGTGTACATTCTGATTCAAGCACAAAATAAGCTATTGGAAAGATGGAATTGTTACCGTCAATACCCGTTGCAGCAGCTAGTACACCAGTGAACTTTCCTTTTAAATGGCAAGCATCAAGAGCAATATAAGGACGACAACCAGCAAGAAACCCTTTAGAACAAGCTGCTAGACAAATAAAAAACCTTTTGAATCGTTTCTTGTCACCATCAATATCAAAGTCAATTTCCACAATGCTTCCTTCATTCCTATTTAATAGTTCTTCTCTAAAATCATCCAACTTCATGAATGATTCTTCCCACTTACCATACATATCAGTATAAGCTTGCTCTTTACCTCTAAAATACTTTTAGATATGGTAATTCAACATTGTAAGTTTTCGTAATCCACTTTCTAAGCTCCATAGGAGAGACATCCCCATCAGATTTCAATTTTTCAGTAACTATATTTGCAACCCATCCTTGAGTAGCACGCTTATTACCACCCTTGTTACTTCGAGAACATGTATGTCCTTCCACCATTTTCTTAACCTGTAAAAAAATTACATAAACATAAATGTATTGCTAATGGAAAACATGTTATATATAAGTTAGGCTATATACTTACTTCAAATGTAATTCCATCTTGCATGATAGAAGCATGAATTCTCCACGCACAATCTATTTTTTCACACCTTGCTGTGAATCGTGTCGGGTCACTTTTGTGGATGAATTACTCGAACTCATTCGTGATTGCAAAATGGTTCAAAGCTCTCTTAAAACTAATCGCATTTTCATATTTTGTGCCCACCTTCATGCTTAAACTGTTCTTGCTAAATGAGTCAGCCTCATCATCATCTGTCATCGGCTCATATTCATTATCAGAACTAAGACGGCTATAATAACTTGCTACACTGGGACAATAGTCTGAATCATCTTCATACTGTATTTCATCTCTGTTAACGCATAACTGATTACTAACATTAAGGTTATTTGAGTCAAGGTTATTTTCTGTTGTCACATAAATGGTTACTTCTTTCTCATTTTCATACATGGTAAGCATAGCTATGAACTTCTCCTCAGAATCTAGCTGGATATATAATCGGTCTGGTGTAAACTTGTCAACATACCAAATTGAAAATTTTGGATTGTTCTTTGATGAATAACGTTTTATGACTTCATCATTTAGTTGAGCAAAGTTGTATGACCATGTCTCTATGTAGATGCATTTTTGAAAGCCAAAACAATATATTTTCTTACTAGTGTTCTTTGCTAGTCGAAAAATACCCCCATATTTCAATTTTATCTTGTACTTGGAAGCTTATATACTCGTAGAAACATAATCAATCATTGGAGACTCAACCGTGTTCTCCCATATCGGTTTTGAGATGCCATCATCCGTGTCTATGTGTGACTGTTACATGTTTATATAACAATTAAGCTTTTAACTCGTTAAACTACATGAAAGAAGCTCGAGAGTAAATAACTTTACATGTTCAATGAAATCATCCATGTTTTTGTCCGTTGATTTTTTGCCATTCAAGATTTCATCTGTTGATTTTTCCCCATTCAAATCCTCTGTTAATTTGTTGTCAATCAAGAAATTGTCAGTTGCATGGAAGAGTATATATATAGGTTGTAATTAAAGATGAAAAACATTGATCGAATTAATTACCAGGTGAGTAATCAAAAGGCAAAATAAGCAATAAAAATTTGATAATAAGAAATTGCGATTTAAAGGATACGAATCATAATTGTGTAATAGAAAATCAGAACTGACAATCATAGTCTATACTCCACATTGTATTACCTGATACGACTTCAGTTGCCATCTTCTCGGAATTGATTCTTCGTCAACAGGTGATGCTCCGCTGCTGAAGATGACGTTGAATGAAGAGAATACTTCTTTGAAGTGTGCGCCGTATGTATGCAGTTAGTTAGCGCAATGAATTTCGTATCCTTCCAGGTACGTGATCAGCAAAAGGGTTAGGATAGTTGGGTCAATTATGGTCGATCCAAGTTAAGGCAAAAGGGTTTTAAGTATTGAAGGGCAAATTAGTCAATTGGCATTATGTTTTTAAATTAAAATGATTATAAAATATAAAAAGTGATTAAAAACATTTTAAAAATGGTTAAAAATTAAATTTGGGCAAATATGATATTTTAAATGTTAAGAAGGGTATATATGATATTTAGATTTAATGTCGGGTAAATATGATATTTTACAGCTTAATAAGGGCATACATGAAATTTTCCCTAAAAGCAAAGACTAAGTGACTAACACATGAATAATATATGTACTTCTTAGTGAATAATATAATACTTTTAAATAACTAAACATCATAATATTTCTTTGCTAAATATTTTCAATTTAAATTGCATGTTTATTATTTGTTATTGTAATGTTGCTCATGGTCTTAAATCTTACCCCAGCAATGGGCTTTTATAACTATGTTTGTTTAGGAAGTGTTCACATAAATTTAAAGAAAAATTTCGTCAAATAACCATAAATTGGGGGTTTAAAAAAATAACCATGAAAATCAAGGTTTTGTATAATGACCACAAGATCCGCAGAGGGTGCTCTGCGGATTCTTTAACACTTCTGAGGATCAACGAACACTTCAGTTGCTGATAAGTTTGTATCAGATAACGATAACGTTTTATCAGATGATGATTATGAACCAAATTTGCGCATGACAGAATTAGAACATCAAAATTTATTTGAGTTTGGAGAAGTACCTGATTTTGATGATCAATTATCTGATGAAAAATCAAATGAAAGTTGGTCGGAAGATAAGTACACGCAACGGAAAATTGATTTTAATATGTGGTATTGTATTCCTCTTATTCCTGATTGTCCAGAACCTATTCTTGAACTTGGACCGTTTAGGTCTGAATGATAAAATATTTGTGAATCAAACCTATAACACCAAAGAAGACCTAACAGCTTCTGTTAAATTCAAAGCGGTTAAAGAAAAGTTTCAGATTAAGTTTCAAAAATCAAGCAAATCGCGATACGAGGTTGTTTGTTTGCAAGAAAACTGTCACTGGCGTTTATATGCAGCTGTCATTAAAGGAACTAAAATGTTTGAAATTAAGACTTTTAAGAAGGAGCACACATGTTCTTCATTACTTATACACCCAAATCATAGGCAAGCAACCAGTGAAGTTGTGGGAACTATAATACATGACATTATGGGTCAAGGTAGTTTGAAAGTTTGGAGGCCTAAAGATATTATTAGAGATATGAATGTGTTGCTGGAAATTAATTTGAATTATTCACAAGCGTGGCATGCTAGAGAATTTACTATGGGATTAATGATGGGGACCCCCTAAGAAAGTTTCTCCAAACTTCCAGTTTATTTTCACAACTTGAAGAAACATAATCCTGGGACTGTGGCGTACATACAAACTGATTTGGAGGATCGCTTCGAGTATTGTTTTTTCGCTATTGGTTGCGCGGTAAATACATAAATTAAATTTTAAACTTTGTAAATATATAGTGTTTATAAACAAAATATATTGTTAATATATTCATGCTTTTTACAAAATTTGTTGCAGATACATGTTTTCAGACGGTTTTGTAGAAAAGTTATTATTATGGATGGTCCCCATCTGAAGGGAAAATACAAAGGCACCATATTGCATGCAGTTTCCATGGATGGCAACAATCAAATATTGCCTATTGGGTATGGCTTGTGTGGTTTTCATCTAATAGGAAACATAGTGCACACCTTTGGAAAAAATAAAAAATCAGCAATTTTGTTTTGGAAGCTTGTAACAGCTTACAAGACCACTGAGTTTGAACAGTATTGGGGGAGACTTTGTACTCTTAGAGCAGATGTAGCGGCGTACCTTAGTCAAATTCCACGTGATAAATGGACTAGATCCCAATGCCCTACCATGAGGTACGATTATTTGACCTCAAACAGTGCAAAGTCCATGAATGGTGTATCAAAAGATGCTAGGAAGTTGCCTATATTACCAATTCTTGAGTTCTTCCGCGCGCTTATGCAGAAATGGTTTTACCAACGTCGTTTGGCTGCAGGTATGACTAAAATTTTGTCAAATTGAACAATAAATGTCATATATAATGATATATCATTGTTTTAACAGAAAAAAGTACAATTAGAACGTGGGATTTGTACTTGCGGGAATTTCATGTTCTTTTGACCCCTTATGCACTTAAGGTGCTTCAAAAAAGATTTATCAACTCCGATGGTTGTAGGGTTAGGCATATTGTTGGTGACAGATATGAAGTGAGTAAGTATTTAACCACCGAATCCGTGCAATTAGAACGTGGGATTTGTACTTGCGGGAAATGGAAAAAATGCAGTATACCTTGTGATCACGATATAGCATCACTACAAAGGCTTGAAATTGAAGAAATCCAGCTTGTGGTAAATTTAAAGTTAACTACTGCGGTGTATCGAAATGCTTATCAAACTGAGACGGTGAATCCTATTCCAATCCTTATGCATTGGGAAATACCAGTTGAAAGTGTTTTCGTCTTACCTCCACGACAATTTACTTGAATTGTAATGTATGGATCACAACTAATATTAGTTTGTATTTAGTTCTATGTTAACCTTAGTTTTGGTCCATTGCCGTTGTTATCTTCTAATAAATAAAGTGTACATTTTTATTAATAATATTTACCTTTTAATAAAGAATTTAAACCTAAGTTCCCGACACACAGCTCTGCGGACTGACAGACAACTCTGCGGACTGACAAACACCTCTGCGAACTGCCAAACAGCTCTTTGCGGACTTGAAGGGTGTTTAAATTGTCATAGATGATCGTTGAATTTTTGGTAAAGAGTTACAATTTATTTCGAATTTTAATATGAGTTTGTCTTCAAATTTCTAAATTCGCTCGTGCAACGAAGTTGATTGTTACTATTGTGATCTGATAGACCCTTTTCTTGCACCGTCACCAAACATTAGAGGGCCATATATGTCTGATGATACTTTTCAACAATTTCAATGGGCTGAAGAACAACAAAAAATAGATAAAGAGTCATCTCGGGCTCTCACTAAACGTCGTGACGTCATTGTGGCAGAGTGCAAAGAGGCTGAGGAACGGATGCAGATTAATAAAAGAAATCAAAGAGCATGAAGAATGGATAAAAAATACTAAGAAGACTATCAAAATGACTGAAAAATGGTTTGCTGAGAAGGATGCACAAATGATAGATCTTGTGCAGAAAAAGGATCATTTTGAAGATAAACTAAGAATTAGGGACGACTATATAACAATGGAGAAAGATAAGTATCAATTGCAGTTCCCTTAAGTTAATTATTGTTGTTGTACGTTTATTTTGTGTTTTTGGTTTGTTATATGTATTATATTCGAGTTTAAGTTATTTTATTAAATTAACTCTACTAGTAATGATTCACTAATATAATCATAAAATAACCGATTAATCTTAAAACAGTAATAAAACTACACAATCAACCTCTAGTTGCCCAAATAATTTTTGTCATCCTATTACGGTAATTAAATCTCATATTTCGAGCAGACTGGTGTGTCTCCACTTCCACCCCCGATGCAAGCATTTCCACGAACATGCACACATACACTCCAAAATCTCCTCTACCTCCATCTTCCTGCTATGGCACGTTTTCACCTTCAACAAATTCCACCGAACTAGGTTTTTGTCTATCGGGAAAATGCTTCCAATATGAAATTTTGTCTAGTTCGCTTAAAATACTATCACCCAAGGTTTCGAAACAACCGTTTTCCCCATATTCTTTGAAATAACCACACCATTTAATTGAATCGTATATGGTCACTTTCCATGTAATGAGATTCAACTCCGCTAAAAACCAATGAATTTGCAGGACATTGATGGGAATTAAAACCTGCAAAAAAAATGTTAAATTATATATATATATATATATATATATATATATATATATATATATATA